AACTTTCCAAGATGATCGGACGAAAAAGTGAAAATTCAGGTCAGTCTAATCTAGAGCAAAACGCGCAGTTTTGCTAGTACTTTAGTTAAGTTTTCGAAATTGTCCCACATTCAAACGACGATTTGGCGCCCCCCTAAGACAGCGCCCCCCTGCACAGCGGGGTCAGCAGGGCCTTTCGTTACGCCACTGCAAATAACACTCATTGCTCCCACACATTATATGATATTAATGTATCGTATATAAGCAAATAAAGCCTGGTGTCCTGTTAGGAAAACAAATTTTAGGAAAACAAATTTAAATTTTGGTATTTATTAATAACAATCAAAACATATCATATCATAAAAATAAAGCCGCGCGATGGTTGACTGCCTCAGTAAGGTGAATAATTTAAGCTTGAAGGTGCGCATTTACAGAACCTTATGCGGCGATCACATATTCACGAGGACCTGTGAGCGCCAAAATTAATTTAAAGTTTCTAGAAATCATACATCACTACGAGTTACTCATGCTTTTGGATTATAAGAGTGCGGATTGTCAGGTATTTCATTCATTCATACTTAATCGGTTTAAAGCTGTATATTTAGAACTCACTATTGTTTAAACTACGAAAGCAGAACGTAGATAATGGACAATATACCGACGACAATACCAAGGACCCGAGTGCTGCATTGACTTTTCCGGATCCGTTTTTACCGAAGGCTTATCCACTAGTTACTCATGCTGCATGTATGGTATGATAATATTTTGTCTTATCTCTAGCAAGCATTCTGTAAATTGAAGTGTCGTATTTATTATAGAAGAGCCAGCCAACCTCCGCATTATAATCTTTTGTGTGCCAAGTTCGTTTATGAAATCTAATCATATAATAAGATTGATCCAATAGTCTAAGATGAACGGTATATCATAGCTCATCGTTATTAAAATCCGAATGGATGAATTAATCAAGTAATGTTCCCTTTCAACACAACTAAACAACAAACAAATGCTTGCTCACCCGACGACGGCGTCGAGAAATTATTAAATTATGCATTTGCGCCATACTGGACACATTTTATATTTAATATTTTGTGGTTTGTAGAAATTAGTGTCATCTACAGTATAGCTTAACTGGCGAGCAAGCATCGTCCCACTCGGCCGGGACGAAAATACCGAGTCCAATCACAGAAAGTTAACCAAAAGATAAAAATAAGAGCTCAGATATCAACAAAAATCACACGCTCCAGACGACGGGGGAAGATTTAATTATTTATTATATTATGCCAGTTATTTGCAAAAATACAAAGCAAAACTAGCTTCTGTTACTGGGCGGCACTCGGCTTAGCATGTCATTCCACCAAATTTTTATGAACATTGAAGCCTGGGGTCCCCGGCCCAGGTTGACGGATGTTACTCGTCTTATAGCGCGATGCACTACTGGGTCGCGCGCGCATCCAATAATGCTTCTCGGTAGATCGGCGAAATACACCACTGTGCCTCACCGAGTTGCGAAGGATTTACATCGTGAATCAATTACACGTCTAAATTTCTTCGAAGTAGCGCGCGCCGCTTTCTTCTCGAAATGTTTTACCTGAGGACCCCAGGCTATTATGTTCATTAACATAATATAGATTTGGCGGAATGACAGGCTGAGCGCGGCCCAGTAAGAAATGTTAAATGTTAAATGGCCTGAGGCAAGTGCTACGGAAAGGCTTGACCATTGTTAATGATTTGGCCCGGCGCGCGCTACTTCGTTGCACTTGCACAATATTTCGAGAAGAAAGCGGCGCGCGCTACTTCGAAGAAATTTATACGAGTAACATCCGTCAACAGAAAGGCCCGCGGCTTAAGTGCTAAGAAGTAGCGCGCGTTTGGCTTGTCCGTTAACAATGGACAAGTCCCACTGTCCTAGGTCAAGCTTCTGTTGTTAACGGGTGATACTCGTAAAATATTTGTTCCATATAGGACCGTCGATGAGTCCAACTCGGCGCGCGTCTTGGGAGGTTATAAACCTACAAAGTTGATTTAATACAAGTGCAGAAAATTATTCTAAATTTAAGCAAAAAATAGCACATTTTGACTTTTATTCACGAGGTCAATCCTCAACATCAAACATGCAACAGCTCGGCGAGGCTTATATATTAGTGCAGTGTTACTGGGCCGCGCTTAGCCTGTCATTCCACCGAATCTCTATTCATATGTTTATGAACATAATAGCCTGAGGTCCCCAGGTAAAGTGTAGTGGTGCATATTTGTTACAAATTTTTACCACCTTTTTTGTTTTTGGATTTTCACCCGAGGAAAAATGAAGGGATTTGTTTTATTTTTGTTTTTGCACTATTTTGTGCGGCTGTGTTTTAGCTATCTTTATTATGCAGGTTTTATTTTAATTATGCAAATTTTTTCTGATATGCCAACAAATTTAACTTGCTTAAAAGTTTTTAAAACTTGATACATGTTGCGTTCGTCGCTTCGCGCGCAAATAGTGGCATGCAACATTGCAACGTATGTCAATAAAAAACAAAAACATTGTTTATTTGGCCCGTTGCTTTGCAAACCAGAGCAACGATCTGATCTCGCGATGGGTTGACATTATCAATCAAAATAAATGAAGATCTGACGACCGTACCCTGCACCTGAAATAAAACATTGACTTACCCCATGAGCTGACATGCATAATGATAATCAAATTGACGGGTCGACGGGAGATAAACTCGTAAAATATTTGTTCCAAATATTAGACCGCGTCGACGATTCGAACTCGGCCGGCGCGTTTTGGTAGGTCATAAACTTAATTGACGATGTCAGATGTCAATTCATGGCAGCTCGGCGCGGCACCAGGCACAGTAGCGCATCTCGCCGATCTAGCCAGAGAAGCCTTATTGAGTGCGCGGCGCGGCACAGTAACGCATCGCGCTACAAGTTTGCTCTATCCAGAGCCCTTGCGCTTGCAGAAATAAGCGCGCCCGAAGTGGCGTGAAAGCACATGGTTAGGTGAACTACAAGTCATAAACCTACAACTACAAGCCCCACAAATGACTCATTTTGCACCCCTAATGCTTAATTGACGATGTCAATTCATGGCAGCTCGGCGCGGCACAGTAGCGCATCTCGCCGATCTAGCCAGAGAAGCTGTGAGAAGCCTTATTGAGTGCGCGGCGCGGCACAGTAACGCATCGCGCTACAACCCTAATGCCTATAATTATATATGGGAATCATTGTATCTTAAGTCGTGACCCCCATCGTCGTTTCACTATAGTGAGTAGAGTAACTAGAGTTTCTACGATACAGGGGGAGCCGCGCACTCGTGCGCGGCGGGTCATACAACGTATGACAAGGGAATCCCAGGTGTCTTTCTGACGGTAGTTAAAAGTTTTTCAAGTGCGGTCGATCCTTAGACGCCTGGAGAAAAAGTACTTTAACTTTTTTCCCTATCCAGATTCAAACTTTTTTGGGGTGGTTCCTGAGACTATGGACAACACATTTGACATTCTTGTAGAAAACTGCTTATCGTAATTTTTCCCAGATGGTTATTGGTTAAAGCTGTATTTTAATTTATGTTAATTATCCCTAACTATTGGCTTTAAGTTTAATGGTTCTATATTGTTTTAGAATTAGCTCGTTGCGAATATATCGACATTTTTATCATTTCTGTAGCAATTTCTGGAGATGCCTTTGGGATGATGATTAATCACTCTACACTCGACTGTCACGTGACTTTTTCAACCCGTTCTCCAGCTGGTTCTGAACGACTTTTCGAAACCCTAACCCTCTAATCTGATCCCAACCCTAACCCTAACCCAATCCTTAACAAAAACATATGCTGAAACCCTAACCCTAACGAGAAATAAGACTAACTTCCTTATACGGTCATATCACGTGATCGAGACAGTATTTCGCCAATATCTCGTCAGGGGAGCATTTTAACCCTATGTCATGTGGGGTGATTCGGAATCAGCGTCCGAAAATACATCGATTGAAGTTGGTTACAACCGTCGGGGGCCCTTTTAGAACAATCTCAAAGATCGACTGTAGAGTGATTTAGCACGCTCGATGCCTTTGTGCTTTGGTGATGATTGGCCAATTAGGCAATTTTGATAAGACGCGAAGAAACGAAAGTTGGTATATGAAATATTGACTTATCGAGAAACTTAGATGTTAGAGTTATACTATATATTAGAGTTATACTATATATTAGAGTTACTATATATTAGAGTTACTATATATTATTGTCAATAAGCTAAATTTAAACATTGAAGTGACTCAAAGTTTGACCATTGTTAATGGTCTGGCCCGGCGCGCGCTACTTCGTAGCACTTGCTATCGGGCTACTTCGAAGAAATTTAGACGAGTAACATCCGTCAACTCAAAGTTTAACCATCTTAACTTTAAATTTCCATTATGAGTATGTCAATGACATGCGGCAACTTGAACTCCTCTACCGCTGCTTCGTCATTTGTGAAAACTTGACATACGTTGCATGCCACTTTTCGCGCGCGAAGCGCGCGCCGCCGAAGGCGGAAAAATACATAATATCTCTGATATTTGTGATACGTAACATGTATCAAGTGAAAACCTGATTATTGCACGCAAGTTGCTGCTATTAATTAGTCCGCTTGTAATAAAGGATAGGCTTCACTTGGGTAATACCACATATCAATGGTGTGGCACGGCAGGGGTTGACCAACAGATCGCATGTTACGCGACATTACGATGAGGATCACATAACTACCAGCCCCATCGCAATTAGTTCCCACACTTAACGTCACCTGATCACACGCACAACGTCACCCGATCTGACGTTCTGCTCTGCACCACCTCACACCGTCTCTTTACTCGTCACGAATTCCCACACAACACGAGCCCATGACAGTGAACTTGAGTAGGTGATCGTCAGAGCAGGAACTGGTCAAACCCCTTCCACCCAGGTAACAAGAGTATAAATACCCTCAGACAGAGGGTCTAGACATCGAGTTATCCTCAGTAACTACAACAACTACCAAACATCCTATCAACTAGTCACTATGTGTACTGTTTACAATAACCCATCCTTCCAACTAACTCCTCCGACTTATCTGGAGTCCCACTCTGATAGACTTATTACCCCCGCTCCATATTCCATCCCTGTTCCAACCACCCTCTCTCAGTCTCAGGCACCCTACACAGCTGCCCTATCACCGGCATCCTATCCTCAATCCTCCACAAACCCTCCTCCAACTTTCTACCCCTCCCCAGATTCCAGCCACAACTCTCCTGGTTCTCCACCTACCACTACATCCCTCTTAGAACTGAGGAGCTATCCTGAGCCGAGTCTTTCAACCAGCACCGGTACCTACCCACAGGGGGACACTCCGCAACACAACTTCTACGAGTACATGTACTCTTCATTCCCTAACTACCAGTACCAGAATCCTAGCATCTACACTGATAACAGTGTCCCTGATACGGATAGTTACCCCAGTGTCGCACCATACTACTCCCACCCCTCCTACCATCCTTACAGCTACTCGAACAGAGCCCCTTCCCATTCCAACATCTACACAGAGAGAACTACTGCCTCCTCCACCGCCCACTCTCTGCTGCAAACCTCCCAGAGCTCCGCGACAACCATCCAGCACCCAGCTGACTCCTCTACGGACCTCTACCCTTCCTCGACAGTCATGTCACCTGAAGCAAGTGATAATACTAACAGTCCCAAATACCCTCCTGTACTTGTGAAAGGTGGCGGTAAAATCAGAGCTAAACCGGTGAAACGGACAGAATTCTCCGCTGCAGACCTCAGGATCCTTGAAGGACACTTTGCGGTATCAGACTTTGCCAGAGGACCACGTCGGGACGATATTGCTAGACAGTTGAACGTGAGACCTAGATCTATCACCATTTGGTTCCAGAACAGACGAGCTAAGCTGAGGGCCAGGACCCAACAACTGGATCTGTTGAAGAAGGCGGCAGAGACTGGGGTTGTTCAGGACATCGAGAAGATTTCTGATTTCAGATAGATTTTAGTTTTCAATATTAGTGGTTATCTGATAGTTAATCCTGTTATTTCTGTTTTGGAGAATACAAATAATCAATTTACAGTTCCGTTCCAAAGTAATTTAATATTTAAAAAAGGAGTATAGTGTAAACACTAAACATTGATATTTATTTATAATACATTCTGATGCATTTACAAAATTCGTCTACTTTGTAAAACTATGAAATTATATGATCCAAATTTTGAAGTTATCTATCTTAATTAATTATCTACACATAGTCATAAGAATAATACATAACTTTGTTTACAGATTCACAATTAAAATTCCAAGTATAAGCCCTAAATACCTCAAACCTTAAGATAAAATATCTCACCAAGAATGAAGACCTATATTAAGCACCTGCAAAAATTTTAATACTCAGAATACCCAAAATATGCAATTGGAAATAAATGCACATAATATTTGAAATACAAATGAACCGATACGGACTTCCAAATTCAGCGATAAGGAACTGCTAAATGCGGGTAAAATTATTTAGTAACGCCCAGTGACTCATGATAAGCCCAAAATAAATGGATAATACTCTTGGAGATAAATTGGAACATGATGAAGTGTACCCACGCCCCCTTGACCATGATATACTATACATAGGTCTGTATAGACCTATGCATTATACATGATTCACGACATTAATATTATTCGTCGGGATGATCTTCGATGTTCCCATGATATTAATATCTATAGTCAATTACTTTGGCACCAAATTATGATCGATCTCGAGCCAATAATCCGCGAAGATAAGAGCAGTTGTGGGGGGTGACTGACACAGTGAAATTACGCGGAAGTCAGCATATATACGTTCGGCGTGTAACCTGATATGGCATTTAATCTATCACAGGATTGCAGATAAGGTAAGAAGATAAGAAAAGATAATTCGGCGGTTATCGCCGAGGCAGAGAGAGATCTATCTTTGTATTTTCGCGTGTGAGTGTATTCTGTTTGTCTTGGTTTGTTGATATTGTGGTTTGATTGCTGTTACCCTTTTCGTTCAGTTTTAGGGGGAGGACTGTCGGAGAACTTCTTGTCGATTAATACAGATGAAAGATTGATTATCACAATCCTTGGTGACAGTCATGTTATCAAAATTCAAAGAAGAGCTGGAACTAGATATTTCTATGATGAATTGTTTTTGTTCCACGTGTTTTTGCCTAATTTTTTACTCGTGAAACGTTATAGCCTTGCTCTATCACACTCACAGCGCCGGTTTTTACGAGCGATTCAGCTAAGGTAAAAGCGTAGTTAGAGAAATTAAACTCCCGTTCGGTAAGCTGTAAACTATTGCCTTGAGACTCAGAGAACACCTGTCTTTCTGTACACCTGCTCGACTATATTATAAATCTCCCGCCCACCCATTGGGCTATTCCACCTCGCTCAGCTTCTCTGATTGGCTACCAGTGGTCACGTGACTTGGCAAATCGTGAGCAGATTGGTTAAGACGCGCCACGTGGGTCAAACGCTGCACGCTTATTGAATAACGACGAGGTATGATGATCATGATTGGCTAATGTGGTGGTTGGATGATGGCGATGACGAAGATAGAGTACAAGTTCTGTAGGGTAACACATTGCAGCTCGAGGGTAGGAGGGAGGGCGGCTCGCAGATCAACACCTGTTTTTTTAATAAATTTAGAGGGACACCTGGTAAGGATAGATCGCTAGTAGTAGTAGCGGGCACTGCTGCTGTCTGGTGCCCACTCTGCCCTGCTGCACTCCCTATATTAACTCTCATATTCCGATCAGCTTATCTCTTCATCATGGCCACTTTCCATCTTAATCTAGATAAGCTGGCTGCTCTGCCATGCCTTGCAACGTCTTATTTGTTTGTTGACTACCTTTTGTGTCCTAAAGTTAGAGTTGAGCCGGGGTATGATGGAGATCAATTTATGCAAGGTGTGGGGGAACATCTATCTAATCTCAATCTCCCGCACTTGTGCAACCTGTATTCGAGAAGTCAGTAATCATTGCATGCGTCAGCCCGGAAGGTGGCCATAAGGTGGTCAAAAGAAGAGGTATTCTTGGAATCATAGCTTGTTTTCCAAACTTTAAGCCACCTTTTCAACACCATTTTGATCATCTTGTAATCATTAAGTTCATTCTGGGGATTCGAAAAAGTCGTTTTTCGTATTTCGTAGCACTTTCGAATGTGCCAGCAAGTTTTGCAACAGAAATCTGATAATGACTCATTTTTAGCTGAAAACCACAGTCTAATCAAATGTACGCTACTTTCGTTCCACGATCTCATTGATAATAGAAATCATTAGAAAGTCACACGAACTCGATACTTGGTTAGGTGCGATAACGTCACCTCTTATCACAACATATCAGCTGATAATTCTATCGCATTATTCCGGACCCTGTCAACACGTCTCACTGTCCAGCGCTCACAACTCCCCCTCTCTTCGCCTCGTGATCTGCACCGAACTGAGGAGAACTGTCCACTGAGAACCACAAACTGTGAACCGAGAATCAGAATCTGCGAACTCAAATTGATCACCGACACCAGAAACATTGTTTAGCTGCTGTACAAAAATACATGGCCATTCATTTTTAAGGTGCGTTGGGTGATCGGCGATCAGTAATTTTCACACATGATTTAGTTATGAAAAATAACATATCTGCTCTCGTCTGATTGTTTTAGAGCTGCCAGGTGTGCATTACCTCCCTGAATATACACCTCTACAACTACCCTAAAGTCCTACGTGCACTCTAATTCCTGTTACCACGGGTACAATTCATCGTGGGCACAGTCATTTGAATGGTGTTAGTCACGTGATCTAGGCTGTGATCATTGGAACTTCTAACCTCCCCTCCCTTTCTAGGATGAAGCATGGTATCACGAATTTTGAGATTCCAGCACGGACCAGGACACCCGATAACATGTCCAATGGCCTGTCACCTAGGTAACGCTAGTTCTTAACACTTTTCACCATCTAATTTTACCACTGGTGTATTATATAAATAAAACCGTGAATTATAAGTACCGCTACCACGTTATGGTTATGATTTATGAATATGATTGCTAATATGAAGAGGATTTCTGATATAGATATGAATTGAAAATCTGTTTCACCCATTTCGTAAGTTTTGAAGCGATCTTTTAAAGAAGAGCGTGATTGATTCGATGCCCTGAAAGTTTACAGAATCTGAATTTATTTTGGAAATCGCAAGACTGATTTACTGAAAGTAAAATTTACGATACATTCAGCTCGATGATTATTCAAAAAACATGTTAAAAACTATTCCCTCTCAGTATGAGGAAGCTACAGCCGATATCACGAAAGCGAGCACGGTTGGACGGTAAACTATTGCTAGAGGACAGAAATCACAACTCAGTATGCATGATCGCCATGAACGACTTCAGAAAGCGTAACCTTCTCTGTGATTTCGTCATCACTGCAGGTAGGGTTCCGGTGTGAGATTCATTTTTACACTGCGAGCAAGTAATGAACTTGGTGGTGAAATTTGTTTAATATTTTCATAATATTTTAGCTCTTTAAAACTCTGATCGTGCCAGTTGGGCTTATCTCAGCTGTGAAATTCAAGTCCCCCAGATTAACAAGATAACAAGGTTCACAATTAACATTGTCTAAATTAGCAATCAATTTATATTAACTGTCCACAGTAAATTAGTTAACAATTCCTCATCAGGAGAGAGGGAAATATTTGCTCACAAGATAATCCTAATCTCAACGTCGCTCTGTTTTGCCGGACTACTGGACAGTGGAGGGAAGTTCTCTGAGATAAACAAGTACAAGTGAGTGTAGTGGACTTGTAGTGGACTCGTAGATATTTGGTAGACACTGGGTAGACACTGGGTGGACACTGTAGTTGTGTACTTGTGTAATGTGTAGGTAGAAATATTCTGCGCCTCTGAAATAAAGTGAAGGTTTAGATAAATCAGTGACATTTAATTGTCATATAAGCAGTGTATATTTATTCTATAGTCCCTACCACCCGCCCCCACTCCCCACTCCCTCTTCCTTTAGCTGATTTCTCTTCCAACATACAATCATTACAGAGTGGATTTAGACGGTGAAGTAGTGGAAAATCTGATAGATTTCACGTACACAGGTACGATAGAGTTGACTCTGCAGGAGGTGCAGGCTATGCTAGTAGCAGCCAATCAACTCAAGTTCATCACTGTCGTCAGAGTAAGCTGGGACTTTTAGTTTTTAAATTGTATCCCTTAAAGTTTCAATACTCCTTGGTCTGATAAATGGCGAATATTAACGCCGCCCCTGTTTTTATTATTGTAAAACTTTATGAACCCTCTTTTCCTTTCAGGCATGTGTAGATTTCTTGAAGAGGCACATGTCAGCCATGACATGCATATCACTACGACAGTTTAGTAAAACTATCCAATGTGACGAGTTAAAGTTATCTGCAGATGTGTACATTTTACAACACTTCCGGGAAGTTTCCAACACGGAGGACTTCTGTAAGCTAGCTTATAGCCAGGTGAGATAGCCGTTAGCTACTTTTAGCTACCTATATAGCTATATAGCTACTCTTACTAACCTAGTGGCTACTTTTAGCTATCTATAGCTATATATACTATATAGCTGTTAGCTACTTTTAGCTACCTAGTTATTTGGTTAGATACTCTCAGTAACCTAGTGGGTACTTTTAGCAAACTATTGTGCCTAATCGGTGTACTTTAAGTTGTTTTCTCCAAGCAACAGCAATATTCATAAGATAATATAACCCAGATGTTACAACAAAAATTCCACCATTCCATCAATAAAGAACCCCCATTCCCCAAGGTGTGGGAGCTGATAAGCAGTGATAATCTACAAGCAGAGAGTGAAGATTTAGTGTTTGAGGCGGTTATGACGTGGATTAAGTTCGATGTGACAAACAGACTGTCCTACTTACAAGCCCTCTTTTCGGCCATCAGATTACCTCTCATTCCTATCAGATACCTACTTAAAAAAGTAAGCATATAAGATCATAATATCGTAGTTTGCAGTCTTTTAAGAAACAGTAAATTATACTTTTTAATAAGAATTCAATCAGGATTTAAATTCATCAATGACCTGCAAAATAAACATTCAATATTTCGTTTACACTGCAATTACTTAAAATTATCGTCTGTGAAGTGGTCATATTCTTCGTCATTCCTTCGTCATTCCTTCAAGTTGTATCCAACATTGTGGCCCGCCTGATAAGTTAAAATTCTTGCTGTTACGTACTGGGTACATGTCGACATGGAATCAGTTCTGGGTCAACCTGTCGATAAAGTTCATTTTCCGATCCAGAATCATGCTTAGGTCTAGAGACGCCATGATTCTTTTTGTATGATGAACGGATTGAATAGGACGTCTTCTGAGTAGTACCATGACTTACTCAGAATGATGATAAGACTCCTAGAGGGAAGATTTGCAGATTACAGGAGCAATTAACTCTAAAATTACTGATTATCATATGAACGATAAGGAATTTCTTGTCTCATTCTATAGATGAGCGAGTGGTGTTTCACGAGGAACATTATCTTTATAACCTTATTAGTATTATCATGGGATGGAATTTAAGAAATATTCAACGAAAAAATCTTACATTTAAATATTCATTTAGGGTCAGATAACTAACTTAGATAGTGGCTGGCACCCCACCAGCATCCCTTAATGATCAATTCAGCACTTGTTTCGAGGGAGAAAACATCAATATGATCCATAACATTTCCCCCCATTTCTTATCGCTCCGAGACAGAATTTTGAGTATGAAGTGATGTCTTTCGGAAAGTTAATCCTAATGCCCACGCGCCTTCGGGACTTAATAATAATAGAATAATCATATTAGCTTATCTGTGGAGCAATTTTTGGAGGCTACTGCTGTACTGAACTTTATCGGTTTGTTTTGGACTTAATAAATAATAACGATGCATAAACGATTCCATTAAGATAACCTAGAGGGTCTCCAGATCATCTTCATTATCAAGATCTTGTAAATTCAACGACCAGGCCGATAATTATGCTGCTGATAGCAATCCATCTCGAATGAAAGTCAGGTACGACGGTGAAATACCTCTAAACATTTCATTTTGGAATGTGTTTGCAATGAATTTTAAAAGCAACAGTATAATCTGTATCCGTTGGGTATCTGAGAAAGCTCAAATTCCAAAACACTCCTACAAAGTTTTAGATAAAACTAGCTGCTGAGCTGCATGTTACTCATGACGCAAATGTAATTTCCAGACCAGATAAGATAAGGGCTGATATGCCCGTCAACAAATTCTACAAAACAACAAAAAGGTTAGGAAGAAAAACCGGAAACTCATAGTCGCGTGTTGCACCATGTGTTACAAAAATAGGCTGTACGTATCAGTTCTGTACAAGTCCGGTCTTGGAATTTCTAAGAAGTTTCGCCCATTTTGCTTATCTCAAAACTATATCTCATTTGAAAACAGAAACGTAGCAGTGAAACCTAGATATCGCAAACGTATCACTTTGTAACCCAGACCCTAAATTTAACAGATAGAGTTATCAGCACTCAGGTGATCCAGCCTTAAAAATATCTTTTCAAGAACAAGAAAATTACATCATATATATGAAGAATATAGTCTACAGTCTCAAGATAAAAGTGTGGTCGACTATCAAACGTTTTTTATCCCTTACTTTGTATCTCAAAAAGTAAAACATGAAAACTATCTCATATTATTGGATCGTTTCCAGCGGCCAAGAAGAGAATATCCCAAATTATTTTACTTTTAGCCGTAGAACAGAATATACTTCGAGGAACGGTTGCTATTTTAGAAATGTTCAGATAAGATACTGAGTACGATCAGTAGTATTACTATTATAAAACGGCCGGCTAAACCAGCAAATCCAGGATTATGTGTATAAACTGCCATATTACTTTAGGTTGGTGTTTTCAACTATAATTTCCATTATTAATTATTGAGAATCGTATATTTCAGGTAGAAACAGAAGAACTGATAACTAATGATGTGACCTGCAACTCACTGCTACACAAAGCTAAAAACTACCATTTACTACCCGGTAAAGTCTCTTTTATTCATTGCTGAATCAGGGTTTAATAACTGTGGAGATCTCAGTTTGAGCAGTTGGTCACTAATATCGAGGTCACTAATTAGTTATTATCTCTGGTGACTGGCCACTAATTAGTAATCATCTCTTCAGATAACAGGTGTCAGTTCGTTATCCCTGGTCCCCTACAAAACCCAGGACGATCTAGGCTTGTCAGTAACGTGCTCTACGCTGTAGGTGGGGAGGAACTTAATGGTGCACGACTCAAAAGTGTAAGTATTTCAATCGTGACCTTGAGTCTCAAGAACTGTATAGATCAATTCCTATGATATCTAGTTTAAATAGTTTTAATTAAAATAATTATTTTAATGCTTATTACTATAATTGCAGGTAGAATGTTACTCGACCGAAACAAAAGAGTGGATACCAGTAGCTAACTTGAACACCGAGAGGAGCGGAGCAGCTGTCTCATTCCTTCAGGGATATCTTTACGCGTGTGGAGGTCAGCAATAAGCATACACATAGTCTTTTCACTATTCCCAATGTTTGAAATGGAGAAAATAGAAAGTTAAGGTTCTCGTGTACTACGATTGTCCATTATAAATTAAACTAATCAACTGATCACCGTTTTCTAAATGGGGTGTTAAAGCCGAACAGTGACGAACCCATTGCAGGTTTTGAGCAGTCGAGTGCGCTGAGCAGTGTGGAGAGGTATGATATCTACAACAACAGGTGGAGTTACCTTCCTCCTATGATCAAAGAGAGATCCTGTGCTGGAGCTACTGTTCTTGATAACTGCTTGTGAGTTATGTTCTTTAGAGCTACTGTTCTTGATAACTGCTTGTGAGTTATGTTCTTTAGAAACAACAGCTTGTTAGGAGTAAATCAAGGTTATAATTATCTTAGAACGACACTATTCACCAAGACAATAATATGCTCATCGCGAAACCTTCACTGTCACAGTGCTGCAGTGTCACAGTGCTGCAGTGTCACAGTGCTATAGTGTCACAGTGCTATAGTGTCACAGTGCTATAGTGTCACAGTGCTACAGTGTCATAGTGCTACAGTGTCACAGTGCTACAGTGTCATAGTGCTACAGTGTCACGGTGTTAGTGTCACAGTGTTATTGTGTCACAGTGTTAGTGTCACAGTGTTATTGTGTCACAGTGTTAGTGTCACAGTGTTAGTGTCACAGTGTTAGTGTCACAGTGTTATTGTGTCACAGTATTATAGTGTTACAGTGTAACACAAACAATGACTAACACGGTGCTAGCTGACAAAGGCCCTCATGTTACCAACAGGTGTGACACTGATTACCACTGTACTGTACATAACAACAACTCTTCAGGTATGTAGCAGGTGGTAACTCCAGTTCAACCACCCTCAACTCCGTCGAGAGATTTGACCCACGCGACAACGGGTGGAGCGCCGTGGGTAACATGCAGTTCCCGCGCAACGGAGTCACTGTTTGCACGTGCAGGGGCATGGTGTACGCTGTCGGGGGACATGACGGTCATCAGGAACTCAAGTGTGTGGAGAGGTAAGCATCATAATCCTACGGGAGAGATTGAGATATATACCATGTTATTTTAACAAGCCAGATTGTTTTAGTGAAAGAAATATATCATCCGTACACGTTAAATCTTATTTGTAATCAACAAATCACAAACTCCAGATGTTCTAAAGTCAGTGATACACTACGTATTTTACAGGTACAACATCCGGATGAACAAGTGGGAGAGCGTGTGCTCAATGCACTCTCACCGCTCCTACGCGGTAGCGGGGGTTGTGGGCGGGGAGGTGATTGTGGTTGGGGGTTACAACGGCTCAATAAACCTGGCTACGGTTGAGAAGTACAATCCTGTAAGCGATAGCTGGTCCATGTTGTCCATGTTGGGCAGTCCCAGGAGGTGGGTGATGATTATTTTATAATTCTTAAAAACTAGGAGGATGCCTTTGAGATCTTTTTTACTTCGTCTAAAATTTTCTTTACAGATCAACTGAGTAGTAACTGATTTCCCGACTGAATACTGACTGATTTTCCAACTGATTTCCTGACTGAGTACTAATATATTTGTTTCAGCTATGCAGGATGTGGAGTTCTGGACGACAACCTGTTTGTCGTGGGAGGATGTGACATCACACAATGCCTAAACACTGTGGAGATGTACGACTCAACCACCAACAAGTGGAGTCCTTCGGAGAGAATCAACGTTCCTCGAGCCTGCTGTGGTGTGTCCGGACTCTGTTTTAGCTCATGAAGGAAACGTGACATTGTGAGATGACTTTGTTATGACGTCACCGGTTATTTAACACCTCAATAGTCAATAATATTGTGAGCAAAAGGGATTTAGAGGTGATGGACGAGACTACAAGTTGTAGCAGTAGCCATAGAGCATGGAGAGAGAACTGTTGTCGAAAGATCATGAGAACAGGATGGTTGAGAATTGAGATGCTATGGATTTGTGTCGTAAAGACTTATATAATAGATCATGATGCAGATGTTAAACTATTAAATTTATATTACTCATATACTTAGGATAAACTAGAAAATTAGCAATAGGGCGAAGATAATCGATCTGGAACTTGATTTTGATTTTATTTTGGTGTTTTTTTCGATCTTGAATTTTCTTGCCATGGAATATAACATAAACATTCATAAATGATAAATGATAAAATTCAAAAAGATATGATTTGATAACAAAAAAGTTATTATAATCTTACAATAGCTGTTTGATATAGGACGTTACGACTTTCAGTTTGAAACTTAGTGTACTAATTTAAAAACATAGATCATAGGTTAGCTTACTAGAACTTAACAAAATTTAAATATGAAATACATAGATTTCGTTGATACATTATATATGTTAAATTGTTCGAAATAGACATGGGACAGTCGACAAAGTTATTAGTTTTTCTTATTTGATCGGTGCGATCTTGATTCACAATTTGGCGGTTTAGTCTAGTTCATGTATGTCAACAAATTATATTAATTTTTTAAAGGTGTCTTTTGAGATGTTGAACTTACACGCAAAAATCGAAACGCACCTGTGCTACTCAATATTCGTGTATGTATATTGATAGCATTTTCGTGTGAAGGATTGTGTAATACGTGTATGGATATTGAATATTGATATGTACGGATTGATTGATACTTGGCAACCATTAAAGACTTAGTTATCTTGTTTCCCGCAATAACACTTTCATTTAAACAAAATTTTTGATAATGGTATATCTTGTACGTACTGCATTGATATTCACGTTCGAAAATTTTATCATAAATACATTACGTTTCGTTTTGCAAATTTATTTACTTGATTTTTAATTTCAGAATGACAAATAATTAATTCGTTTTACTTATTCAAGCATATTAAATGGATGGAGCGAATTACTTATCCCATTCCAAGAGGCAGTGATTAGAGAAGCTTTATTAACAAGCCAGATAATATTGTCCCATGTCCTGCTATTTATCAGATTTTTCCTAATTTGAAAATCCTACCTAATTAATGGTCTAATTACCTAATTGATGGTCTAATTACCTAATTGATGGTCGGCAACTCTATTTCGGCTCCAGAGACCAGGATCCTGATGCTCCAGGTTGAGAAACCACAGCTCTATTTCTTGCAGACGGTACTCGGGGGACAAATATTTGAGGCATCACAGTATCTTGTAATTCGTCTCATCTAGCAGTGAATGGGAGCTGAAGTAGGAAAGTTTTGAATTTCAATAACAACATAAAAGTGTGGAGATGCGGGGTCTCGAACCCCGGACCTTGTACATGCAAAGCACACGCTCTACCGCTGAGCTACATCCCCATTGAATTGTTTGAAAACGCGTTTTATAGAAAAACAGACAAAGCGTACAGATCAGGAGGTGACCGGGAATCCCGGTACCGGGAATCCCGGTACCGGGATTGGCAATTTTGAGCTATCCCGGTCCCGGTCCCGGTCCCGGTCAACCGGTTCAAGTCACATTTTTCATCCCGGTTGCGGTCCCGGTCCCGGTCAAATGCTGATTTATGATCCCGGTCCCGGTCCCGGTCCCGGTTAATTCAGGATTCTTGGTCCCGGTCCCGGTCCCGGTCCCGGTCAATCACTCAAATTTGCCGGGATTTTGACCGGGATCTTTGACATAATTTCATTCACTGTGATTTTAAGTTTTTACTTTCATTCATTGTGAATTTCATCTTTAAACAACCTCTGAGCCAAATAAAACAATGTTTAAAATTGCTAAACAAGTTTAGGTAACTAATATCGTTACATAACTCGTAAGTGCAAACAAACATCAAGTTTTCAACTAGGGCTACGCCCAATTGTCAATTGGAATTGGAGAATGAAACTGTTGAATAATTTGAGGGATCATTGATTGAGGAATGAGGAATGAGGGTGAACTTGAGTAATCAGTACATGAACATTATTGGTGTAGTACATTAGGCCCATGCCCCATATTGACGGTTTTTAAAAAGTTTTTTCTAATTTAATATTCTAGTTATTACTTATTCAAATTGTTCAATTATAATGTAAATGAAAGTTGCAGCTTTCAATATGAGAATACCACTTTTGGTCCCGGTCATCCCGGTCATCCCGGTTAAATCCCGGTTAAATCCCGGTCATCCCGGTCATCCCGGTAAAATTGGATTGTTGGTCCTGGTCCCGGTCCCGGTCCCGGTAAGATAGAAATCCCAGAAATTATTGGTCCCGGTCCCGGTCCCGGTCACGGTAAATTGATAATCTCAGTCCCGGTCCCGGTCCCGGTCCCGGTCAAGTCACATTTTGTATCCCGGTCCCGGTCCCGGTCCCGGTCAGGCCTAAAATCATGTCCCGGTCACCTCCTGGTACAGATTATCCTTAAAATGCAAAGACTTAGGATCAAAGACGAAACATATTTGAACACAAAAATATTTATTAATTATAAATATACTAAACTTTCATTAATCATATCTGGGGATGTAGCTCAGCGGTAGAGCGTGTGCTTTGCATGTACAAGGTCCGGGGTTCGAGACCCCGCATCTCCACACTTTTATCATGATCGAAATGTTTACCATGCAAGGTTAACAGCCCTAATGATTTTTGATTCAACAATAAAAGCAAATGCAGCACGAAATATAGTTATTTTCGAAGTGGACAGTTCGCCCACCGTGGACTTCATATTTATACCATATACAAAGTACAAACCTGCTGCTTAGATCTGGAGGCCGCTCCCAATGTACAATGTGATGGGCAGAAACGTCCTTGCAGTCGAAATAATTGATTGATAATCTTTTAGACATCCCTTTACCTGAAACAGAATAAAAATTACTTCACGCAGTGATGTTGTGATTCCCTGATATTGGATAATTAAATGGATATGACTCATATCGTTGCAAAATGTCACGCGAATCAAAAATATCAGTTTTAGCATTTGGGCCTTAGAGGCAAATCAGATTCTAATAGGTGGGCACAACTAGCTGCCCATGGATCTTACTGAACTGTGTCATTACTCATTAGTCTTATTATAGCTAATTAATAATTTAAAAAATGGCAAATGCATAATCGTGCATCTTTATAGATAAACAGTGAATTTATGTTTTATTTTCATGTCGTGCAGCGCACGCGCGTATATATCATTTCTGTCAAGCTGGCTGCTGGAAAAGACTTCTAACTTATAAGCGCGCGATACTGTCAATTTTTGAGAAGACCCTTCTGTGGAAATGTTTTGACAATGGATACAAATCCGGCCATCGATCAGTGGCGTAACGAAGGGTCCCGCTTGTGTATTATAAATAGGGTTTTGTCAGATGCAGAGTGTGGACATGGTATACACTATACATTATATATTCGTCACTTCTGGTCGTGACAATACGAACAGTGTAAAACCAAGAATTTTCACTGAGCCATTATAATTCTGCTTCCCAACAACCGATTTGCAGAATTCGATTACAGTAAAACCCCGATTTACCGCAAACTCCGATTTACCGTGGCCATCTCCTTTCCCTGAAATAGAGCCTTACATTTATAATGTAAAAAAACAAAACCTCGATTTACCGCGAACACCGATTTACCGCGAATGTTTCCTCTCCCCCAAACTCCGAATAAATCGGGGTTTTACTGTACTTTGTCATTACACTCGGTAAATAAAAAAATCTATTGCTACAAAGTAAAATATTATAAAATACATGACACTCTTCAGATCAGAAATTAAGCTTGCAAAGATGACATTTTTCTTGTCCGATGATATGGGTAATTCTTCCAATTTAGAAATATTACAGAGAGTATATACAATAATGTAATGGGAACAAAAACACTCACTTCAAGGTCAGTTAGTGAAGGATACAAATCCAATGTAATATACGTATAAAAATTATAATATACACCTCCTACAAGCAAAATTAGCACTAAATCAATCATCATACACACAGGGACTATATAAATCATCGTATAACCCAGAGGTAAGGTGAAATATTTTTTAAACCCAGCTGCTGACTGACACTTCTTACGGTACTGACTGGCTCGTTTTCTGATGGTACCAAGACATGAGTAATATCTAGCTTCTAAGAAGAGAGCAAATAATAATACCGAAGGTTCAACATCTAACAAACAATGGAGAAGAGAATAAGGCAAAATCACCCAGAGGGACTTTATCAGTATACAAATTCCAGTAACGATAATTACTGTGTACACTACAAACAGATGATGGTAGGATTCTTTTTCTCTGCTTTCTCCGGATAGAAGGTATAGTTCGTAGAAAAGGAAGACAATGTACAAAAACTTTGCTAGAGGAAATCCACCATTTCTTAACAGTCTCGATAACAGCGTTAATGGGCTTGTCAAATCAGAAACTGTAGATAGTTTCCAAGTTTTATCTATTGCAAATTTATTAAATATTTCTTTGGCAAAATGTTGACAGTTATTTTCCATTAAATCGTATATATAATTCGTTTTTAATATATATTTTAAACGGCGAACTAGAACACTGACTGTACGATCTGACACATCACTGATAAGTCTGCGTTTGTAAAATCCATCCAGTTTGGGACGGAGATGACCATTGAAGCACACGGTAACAGAATAAAGGCTCTCTCCCCAGCTAACGAATATACCTTCAGCTGTTTTATCAAGTGCCCACCATATTCCATCACTTGTATTAAAAACCACATAAGCATGATAGTCCACAGGGAGGTATTGGCCTTGCATGAAACTTCGAACGGGATCTTTAGAGCTACTGAATGGTGCACTCAACGGAGATTTATATACACTGATTTCACCGAGAGATAGAGCTGCTGTTGTTTCATAAAGTTCATTAGTACCTTTGAAAGCTTCTTCAAGATTATCAGCAGTTATTTGAAGAGTATGACAAATCTCTTGACACATCCCAGGGTCGTCAGGTGGTCCGCTACTACTGAGTATCCACCCTCTCGTCCCGGGCATCAGAAAACTTATGCTCATGTCAGGAAGCATAGCTAGAAGAAACAGTGACAAAACAATAACTTCACAAAACTTTTCCACACCCATGACCTGATCAATAATGTATCGAATGTAACATTTTAACCAAGGCTCTTTGTCTTGTCGATTCAGTAATCTGTACGAGCCGTCAGGACGTAGAACCAAACGTGCACCCAACCTTGTTCTACAAGTAGAACAAATATGTTCCTTGACAGGAGTGGAGCAGGGCTCTTCGTTTCGTACATTCATGATCTTATCTTGTTAGTCATATAACGCTCATCACTAATCAGCCCAGTCAACCTGAATTTTTATAAATAATCAATTTGATTGGTCGCTATCTAGAACAGATTCGCTATTAGCAGTCACGTTTCAATAAATAAATAAAACAACATTTGTCAATGTTCGTACATTGATTATGGATGTAGCTAGCCCCCATACCCCTCTATTATAGCTTATTCATAGAAGTAAAATTACTCAAAATTAACTCAGCTAAAAGTTGGATCTATACTCTATACTCTATCATTGGAAACTATTCGCATGACAACTGATATGTTCACTGCTTTAATTCAATACAACAATTAGATTTTAAAATGAAATAACGAAAATCCATTCCACAAGGTTTTCAAACTTGGATCACAGTTGCACTATATTACTATAGCAACAAGAGAACACTGTGAAGGTTAGATATCACTTGTCGCGTTATAAATAGCTTTAAATCACCATCAAAATTGAATCAAAAAATGAGATCATAAAATCGACGCAACAGCTCGAAAATGAATAACCTTCAGCACGAAACTGGACTAACTTTATCAACAAAATATCGACGTGAAGTGAGAACCGCTAATATGTTTGCTAAACTTCAATATATTTCCAAGTTTAGCCAATAGCTTATTATATAATATATATAAGGAAAGAAAGAGCAGCAGTAAAATATGTTTAAATAATGTAATATGAGTACATAATTGTGTAAAGTGTGGTAGCTTCCGTGGCTATATAATGTCATTTATTCCTCATAGAGTCACTTCGTGAGCTACGTAAGTAAATGTTAATGTCCTCACGACAATGTAAACATTCCATAAATCACCACTCAAGTACCAACCGCCCGCTATGAGTATTTCTTTAGAATGGAACACCGCAATTTGCATTCAAGCCATTAGCCAACATTGAAATTATAACACAAACATATTATAAGCTTAGATACATAATAATAATATATCAACACGTCAAGTTACAACAAAAAAACATCAAACGAAACGATAGATTGAAATAGACTTTAAGAAGTAGAAAATCAACTCGGTTCGCTATCTTAACAACAGGTAAGAAGCATATTCCACTGCTATTGCGGTTACATTAAACAAATTAAGATATACCGTCATCTCCGCGGAACCTTCCTCCCTCCACCCCAGCACCTCACTAATCTTAGTCTCCTCACTCTTTCTCCCCAGTATTTCCATCACCGGCCTCTTACTCTCCTTACTCCACTCATTCTGTTCTCACCAGCGCCCAACTTTCTCCAGCGACTTGCTCTCCTACGTCTCTTTATTTTACAACCCACATGTGCCCAAAATCGTTTTTGCTTTCAACACTACTTTCAACACTACTACATAACAAATAATTTGAGCCTGAAGATGGCGTCGACGCCAAAAATTTGCCTACATTCCTTACTTCAAGTTTCATTTGTCCTTGTCTCTTCCAATCGGATATTATCCAACTATCAGTATTCCAATCACTCAATCATGAGACTAAGAAACAGCGAACTACTCCATCATTTGATATACTCTATCAATGGAAATTATTCGCTTGGCAACTGATGACCACCAAGAAATCAGATAAAATAATAACTAAGATGAGACAGAATACTGAATAACAATCAATAAAGCTGGTATACGATACAATAATATGACGTGACATGATGTACGCATTATTTACATTCAAAACAAAACACCCCGGAAAGTGATCACTGATCCTGTATATCTTTATTTACCCAGCTTGTATCAAATTTCGTATTTCAAGATGATGATAACTTTACAAATTTTGTCTCTTTAAACTTTTAAAAATCTTAAATTGTCGGAAATCAAGAAAAATTTTGAAAAAGAAAATTCGGAGGAAAGGAATAACCCGTGGTAAATCAGAGCGCGGTAATTTTAAACCATTTTTACTATAGAAAATGTACTCGATAAATGAATTTGAAGATGACTCCAACTAGGTTTTAAATATACGTATATTTAATTAACTATTATTTAATTACCTAATTCCCTCATTTTTCTGATGTTCTTGGAGAATCCCGACAAACTGACACATGAGACTTTGTAACCATTCAACACTATCTCGTAGTAAGGAAAACCTGAAAAAAATTAAGTCTGTTTACTGTTAACGGTATGAAATAATAACAAATATAGGATCACAATTCTAAGCAACAGCACAAAATTTGTTTAATGATATTTAACAAAATTTATTCTTCTCACACTTCTCACACTTAGTCGCATTTTTATCATCAATCATAATATCATATGGATGAGAGATTGAAGAAGTAAGGTGACTATTGTGACACTGTGACAGGTAATAACTGAGTTATCAGTTCTACGGCAGTAAAATTACAGTTATATCGTACAGCTCCTAATTAATCATGAGATTATAGCCAGTTTTGCTGTTGTCACTGACTGACTCATCACTCATCAGTCTGGTTGTCCTCAGCGATTTAATGGAATGTGGCATGTTATCTATATAATATAGTAGACCTTCTGAGGCCTGAAATATTAATTCACGCGTGGTTGTACGAAGCAGTGATACATTTGAATATTGTACTTGTACTTGTAACTGCAGTTTTACAGAACTCTAAATGCTTAATGAACACTCTTGCAGGTACCACCCGTATTCACACTCAGACCTGAGTTTAGTCATTTTCCGATACAAGATTGGGGACGGGTTCTAAAAACAAACAAACAAACAAACATGTACTTTTAGCAGCAACTGGCGTTTCATTCTGTACATTATACCCGTATACCTTTACATGAAGTAGGGAGTCATTTTGATCTTCATCTTGACTGCTGTAAGATTTTTGGACCAGGTCAATCATGGTACCAAGAAATCGAGCAGGTCGTTTCACCTTATTGCATACGATGTTTATTTAAGGTTATTATTTGTTACTGCATGGTGCTCACCAGTAGTGGATCTCTCATGAAGTCTAAAGTACAGGTTATGTAGTTTTCCCTTTTGCACCTGCTCTCCGCCCACGTGGAACTGGTAGAATCCCGCGTCTACGTTCACTCTGTACGATCTCGTCTGGTAAAATAATTCTTCATTAAGAAACGAACAGCTAGAAATAAATAATTGTGGACTTACTGCTTACCGATCTTTTAGTTCTAAAAAACGAAAATCCTAATAAAATGGTATACAATTTTCTATCAGGTCTTATCCTCGGTTCATAATATAATATAATAACAAACCTTGAAAGTTTGAGTAGCTCTATAAAAGAAGTAGATGACAAGAGCGACGGGGAATATGATACCCTGTCCTAAGGAGAGCGGAGTGAAGAGAGTAACAATGATCCAGATAGTAGATATAATACTCGACACCACTAAAACTACACCTGAAATATATAAACATTCCATGTTAGGTAAGGAAGCTCATCAGATCTGATACTGGATTAAAAGGGTCAGAAGAAAGTCATTGAAATATTTAATATACTAAAGTTCCATTGATATGACGTGTAAATTGGATATTAATTGAGAGATTGGTGGTTTTACTGAAGTATTTTATGTTCTACATGATGATTAGTCATGATAGTAATCTTGCTGCGAACAGATTTACTCACATGAAACGTAGAATTCCATGGGTCGGTCGCTGTACACCAATAGATTGGGATCCAGATCATCCTTTACAAAAGGGTAGTTGAAGTTACCGATAATCTGACCCTCCAGTCTGTCCTCTACTTTCTCAAGTATCGACCACTTGCTGAACACGCCCATATCCTAGCTTACTGAGGCATCTCGTGTTAGAAATTACGAACTGTATTTTGCTTACGGTTTTTAAACTGTTTATCTACTTCGCAACGGAATACCGAAGAGATAAGGATATGCCCCAAAAAAATAACCTGAGCTCAGAGCTGGGTCGTCGGCCAAAAACAAAGGAACAAATACATGCTCGTCATTTTTATTATTGCATAATCAAATTTAGAGAGTTAAGGTGGAGAACTGGAGGCGGGGCAAAGCGTTTTAAAGTATTTATCTAATCGTTATCAGATAAAGTGAAGACAATATATAACGTAACCATAATATGGCTGTCACTTGTCTGGTCTGATATTTGTCCCTCAAACAAGCTGTGACGTAACCATTCACACGTCGATTAGTAGAAGCACGAGTTAACGCTAGATTCAGCATCGTGTTAGTTTAGTTTAGGTTTAGTAATAAAATCTTTTTTGTTAGCTTGTTAGGATTATTTTTAGTGTTTAGTTTATTTTACAATTATGAGGTTTAATTTAACGGTTCTGGAGAAATTAGCTATCTTTCTGGCAATATTTGTAAGTAGCTTTTTAAATCATCATTCGGTTTTGCTTAATTACCAGGTTGGGTTTTATTTCAATGAATATAGGGCCTGATGGACAGAATAGAGATTTTCATAAAATGATTCTTCATTGAGCCTTATCATTTGATAACGAACTTTTCAGCTGCAAATTGAAGGGAGAGGTGAACTATCATTGAAGTTCGAACAATACAAGAACTCATCTAGCTGTGATAATCCAGGGAACGCCTGTGACTTCTACTTTAAAATTACTACATCCGCCGCCTTCCAATCGTGAGATTCTTCTAGAATATCACCCTGCCCTTTTGCATTAAATCCTGAATTTAAAGTTTGATTTCATTCTACTAATTTGTTCACACATCAAGTCACAAATCTCGATAAAAAACATTTAATTTTTTCCAGGTCATTCACAAGTGATTACTACGGGAATAAGCAGTTAATTTACTTCGGTAGTTCCTTCCTCGGTGGAGATCCAAATCCCATTAGCATTACGTTCACAACAAATGTAAGTTTAAAGTTCCGGGGTTATTCGAATTAAAACTGAAACTCACATCTACACATGAGAAGAGTAAGATTTTAAGATATGGAGCCGCATTTTAAAATTATTCTTCTCCAATTTCCATCGACGATTTTAATAATAATCTAGCATAGGCCAACGTCAGTGATTAATGTTAGTATTTTTAACCCTCATAATTAGGGGGGGGGGGGGGGCTAATTATCATGATTATAAAGTTATAGCAATATCTAAACCACTTACAACAAATATTCTGACTAAAAACTCTTAGGGCACCGTGTCTTTAGACGTTGAAATAATGGACAAAGATGAGTGGACGACGGGGAGTGACGACTTTATAAGTAACCTAAAGTACACCATAAACCCATGGAATTTAAAATCTGGGGGCGATTGGAAATCAATATCCATTAAAGATACTCAGGTGAGTGTAAAATGGGAACCAAGCTGAGATTTTATACAGTCTAAGACATGACAGTATCTTGTCAACTTAATATTAATACCTGTTAAATCCGACCACATTTTCACGAACGTCAAACAAATACATGATTATGGTTCTGTTGGTCCTAATAATAATAACCAATATATTAATAATATTATGTGTGACTAGCAATGTCTAAGTTCTGGTTGAGGTGTGAGTTTAATATTGTTATAATTTGAGGGCTGGTCATGGTCTCAAGGCCTCGATCTCGTGACCATGGTAACTATGCACACAGCTCAGGTCAAAGCCATAAAACAGCAAGGTTTTTATAACTAGCCGAACTTTACTTGTGATTTAATTCTATGGCGAAAGTTGGAATAATATTTATTGCAAATTAGCTCGACTTTATGCAGTCTGATTTTATGCCTACTCGTACTCTGCCCATTCATATGTCTGTTCTAGGTCTCTGTGAAAACAAGGTGCCTTACAGCCTAACTGACATAATGTTATATAAATTATCATGATTCGTGACGATTATGATCCAAAGTTATTCCAAACTGTGTTGGTCATTTTAAAAACATTAAACATGACTTATTTCAATCAAATTTTTCGAATTTAACCATATCTTTAGTCTCTCACATGCCCGTCCCCGATGATGACTTCTATTGATCAGACAGGTAACGTGGTCGTCGAAAATTTTCTCATTTATAAAGATTATATTGTACAGGGACATCTCAATTTAAAGTACAAAATTATCTCCTGTTCACCGGAATTTGACGGAAATGGCTGCAACGATTGTGCGACGAACTACTATCAACACAACTGCTCTGTCTTCTGTAAACCGACTCAATCTGTCTCTGCAAATTACACTTGCAGCTTCACAGGTTTACTTATTTTTCACTTCAATGAATATTCAAGGTAGTAAGGTACTTGGTGAAATCGGATCATAGCAACAGCCGTTGGAGATTAATATTCAATAGTGCCAGTGTAAAAATTACATAGCAATAACTTCAGTGAATGTTAAAAATTAAACCATTTATCAAGATCGGCTGATCTTTTGAATACAAGGATCATTTCAAACAACTTTCCTGGTCAAAAACATCCACATTCGCCATCCACCTCCCACATCAATTATGGCGATAATTCATGATTATCCACTGAACATCGGTGGCATTAAATATAACGGATATTACAAACTGAGATTATATTGTTCGCTTAAGAAAGCGAAATATTTGTTGGAGTGAACGAATGATATTCGGAGGGACACTTAATTATGACACTTTGAACAGATCCTACAATATATTCCCCGGGACGCACCACTTGAATTTATTGCATTATTACCCCCGTACTGGAGTGATGGAACAGCCATGACTTACCTACAGCCAATAACGTTAGGTATAAGCTCGTCATGCATAACTTGAGTATTGTTAATTTGATACCTCATTGAGCTTGTTTAGCCTCAAGGTGACGGATAATTCTCAATGTGAGGGATAATTCTCATAATCGTTTTGTTTACCTGAGGTGTTGTTCCCCGTTCACTTTATCATAAATATTATTAATCTTTGTTGAATGATGTCCCTGTCTAGTACCAAGCATTTAAGGAACTAAACCAATGAAGCCCATGAAGTGCTCCCCGGAAACTCATTAAACTAAGATTTTATACTTTATAGGTTTCTGATCTTATTTTAAGCTTTAATTTGCAAAGTCAAGGGATGTTAATTTCTACATTTAAGAGCATTGGTATAGAATCACTTCATCAGAATGCTACTTGCAGTTTTATGCAAGTAAGCCAATATCACATAGCGCATTTATTTCTTGAGTTGTCAGTCTTACATCCATGTGACAGCCTTGTGACACCTGCCATAAAACATTACAGCGGATAAAATGCAGAGGTCGACAGCACTTAATTATATTTGTCATACCATGTGAGGTGCACTCCCCTCGTCCAGTAACAGCTAGCTAGGAGACACCCCATTTGAAAACGTGATTTCGCGTCCTGGTGTTCAAGAAGTAGAATTCGGGCTGCCTTGTGCTTGTCTACCACAGTCCACAGATAAGGATCAGTACAGTGCAACTCTAACACTACTCCGGCACCTGATAAGAGTATCACCCCGGTAACACACTTCTCCCTGTTACATCATGCATGAAGCCACAGATTACAGAACCCGTTTCTGCACAGCATCATGTGCAATGACGATGTGGTAATGTGGTCATGACTGGGAATAATGTATTAAGAGATAATTATGTAGTCAGCTATAATAAATAATTAATGATGGTGGGTGCTCACTGCTCTTTGATAATTATTTGATCCTTTCAAGCTTGCTGTCAGTTTATTTGCATTGAAATCGAATTCTTTATCCACATAAAACCTTAGAAAAGCATAGACGGCCATGGATCAATTTGACACATAATTATTAATTTAAAACTTAATTCTTATCTTTCCAAATATTTTCAGTGGGCTGGGAGTCAGATCTTGATATTTCTTATCTAATCATTTGTTATCTATTGTTTTTCTTCCTAGTAGGTTTATTTGTCTTGTCTAGAACCAAATCTTTAACTGCCCGTATTTGATAATGATAGAAGTATGAATAAAACAAAGTTATTTAGTGAAAAATGTTTATTCAGAGGAGATAATGAGCGGTGTAAGACTAAGAAAATCAGTGATATTTTGTATCTTATTCCTCTACATGTTGGTAAGTCCAAATTTTTTTCGAATGTAATTCCACTTCTTGAGCTTATGATTGCACTTGCATGGCTTTGAATCAATATATCTCGTGACATGACAGCAACTGAATCTTCGTTTAAGCTGGAAGAGGAAAGGAGCACGTGGCAATCGTTAAGATTGTGATATGGTTACACTGAACTTAAATAGGATTTCTACTCCATTGCAGGAAAGGGGCGAAACAAGTGGTATTGGTAAAATAAGGTTCATCTCCTATTTTGACAACGGTGTAGAAGGTTCCAAAGATATGTGTGGGGATATGAGTTCATCGTGTGACTTTTACTTTAATCCCATCGAAATCATTGGAGCCAAGTAAGTCACATCAGCAATACCAAGTTGTTGTGACCATATCATATACTATGGCGAAGATCGTGAAACACGATCTTCGCCATAGTATATAATATAAGTCCTGTTATGTCTTATTAAGAAAATATTTTGCTAGACTAATATATAATACTAAAATATCTGTTTCGTATCAACCTTATTATCTCTGAAAATTCCTCTGCACTACAATTGTATAGTTTGATTGTACGAAAACTGTACGAAAACTGTACAAAAACTCCCCAGCCATACTATTATCAAGACCAACGTAATGGATAATACTTACCTTCTCGATCTTACGAAACTGATCCCTGGAATCATATACATCAAACTTAGAACAAACGTTTGTAACTGGTGGGGTGGGGTTGACTTTAAAATTAATCCTTAAAATGAATTTATTAATGTTTCATTTGAGATCCGGATTTTGAGTGCAGGTTATTGGATACTGAATGTTTCTAATATTTCAATATTATTCACAATCCAAACCGTGTCATAGGATACAGTTCAATTAAAGTTGACGGTGATGGACGATGATGGAGGGTTGAGTAATCCCGACTATGTAAGACAGCTCCAATATGAAATAGACTTCTCTTTGGTACACCTAGACGGCCACTGGAAAAAAGAGGAATTCAATTACTCGCCACCAAATGTAAAAATTAAAAAAACTCAGATAAGGAATTTGGATTCCCAAATAAGTGACAATTTCTTATAATTCATTATATTATGTTAATAATAATGACTTGAACATAAACCTACAAAACATAGTTATAATGCATGTAAACCAGCATGTAAACCAGCATGTAATAGGCACCTTACTATCATGCCCAGTAATGAGCTCATATCCGATACAATCAGGTAAATGACAGAGCTAAACTCAAGTTGGAGTACGCGATTGACAGTTGTAATACTCATTTTGTAGAAGAAGGCTGTAACTTCTGCGAAGAGAACTATCATACACCATCCTGTGACGTATTTTGTAAACCTACCGTAAACTTTACATGTGATCATGAAACAGGTATATCATGAATGTAGACAATTTACCATGTTACCAAGGTAAAATGGGACTCTTAATTCTTTAATTCATGCCACAATTGTGCCATTTTGTAACTTTGTTGCAGAATAGTCGTATTGACATAGTAGTGGCATCATGTAACGTCTTAGTTGGGGGGCATTATGCATGAGCACCTTAGACCAATAAAATGCAATATGCATGCTAACTGATGTTCACATGTTCAACTCAAAGGTCATAAAATGCATTGCATGAACTAGGGAAATGTAGCCGATTGGGACAGTTAATTTCAGCAATGATATGAATCCAGTCAACTAGGTAGTAACCATGGCAACCCTCCATTTCATCTTCACTTTCATTTGATCACTTACAAATCAAACAGCCAAGTTGCGACTAGACAAAATAATCTGATTACCTCAAAATCATGAGGAAGGTCAGAATTCTATTGATCATTCATCAAAGAAAATTCGAACTGTAACCAGCTGTTAAATCAAAGTTTAATCACCAGATAATTAATCACAGATTCTAGTGCATGATGATTCATTTTCAGGTGAGAAAGTGTGTGGGTATGGACGAGCAAAACCTGATTGTGACACATGCCGTCTGAACTACTATTCTACAAACTGTAGCAAATACTGTGTCGACAGTCCAGGACAGCAAAGCTGCAACAAGTCAACTGGAGAAAAGACGTGCCTGGGTAACTGGATAGGAGAATGTGATACCTGCAAATCTGACTATTATGGATCAAATTGTTCTGTCTATTGTGTTGCTGTGCCAGGTAAAATGACTTTCATAGGCTTCAAATTATCAGCTATAAGTATAAATAGAGAGAAAGGAGTAAGTAATTCAAGTATCAAATTGTAGTTATTTTTACTAATTGAGGTAACTCAGATGTTAAGAATAAAGGATTGGTTTATTTTCACTGTCTGGTGACTGGTTGATCACTATTCACCATGATCAGGTAACTACAGCTGTGACACCAGTACTGGAGACAAGCTATGTGTTATTAGTAAGACAGGAGAAGACTGTGACCATTGTGCAGCAGGGTACTTTGGGACGGACTGTGCGATATATTGTCAGGATACTCTAGATCAATACTCCTGTGATGAGAATGGTACAAAAATATGCGAACAGAACTGGATTGGTAAAGACTGCAACAGTTGCTCTGATGGATATTATGGGGTGAACTGTGATAAATACTGTTTGCCAACTGGTCATTACAATTGCACTGAAAAGGGAGAGAAGTTGTGTCTAGGGAACCGAACAGACAGTGCCAATAACTGCAGTGACTGTTTGCCAGGATATCATGGGACTAACTGTGACACTTTCTGTGTAGAGATTAACAGGTATACATGCAGCAACAATGGATCAAAGCAATGTAAAGATAATTGGGATGGACAGCAATGTGATCTATGCCTAACTGATTATTATGGTCCAAACTGTGATGTGTTCTGCACTCCCAATTCAAATTACAGCTGTGGTCAAGATGGTTCAAAACAGTGTTTTGGAAACCGAGGAGGTCTCGAGTGTACAACTTGCATTGAGGATCATTTCGGATTTAACTGCACAACTTACTGTGATCATAGCAACACAAACTACACCTGTTCTAGTAATGGAACTAAAATATGCGACAAGAACCGGCAAGGCATGGAATGTAATCAGTGCACTGCTGATTACTTCACTTCTTCATGTCTAGTACATTGCCAGGAATCTGTGAAAAAAACATGCGACAAAGAAAATGGAGAATCTGTATGTAAAGGTAACAGGTCTGGCCATGATTGTTCAGGTTGCAGACCAGATTTCTTTGGAGACAACTGTGAAACATTTTGTGATACTAATTCCACAACATTTACTTGCGACAGTGGAACTGGTATGAAGATATGTAACAATGACTGGTATGGAGTAGACTGTGAAGTATTTTGCGAACAAGTGGAAAATCGCTACAACTGCTCCACAAATGGAAAAAGGGTCTGCTTGGGCAACTTTGAAGGGGACTGCTTTGTATGTAAGCTTAATTTCTTTGGTGATAACTGCAATACATATTGCCATGAACTTCCTGAACAGAGCAAGTGCAGCAATAATGGAACAATAACATGTTTAAACAACTTTTCTGGACCTAGATGCGAAAACTGTACAGAGGGTTGGAGTGGACATCAATGTAATATCTGTGAAATCTGCGAGGAGGGGAACAAAGATAAAATAATTTCAGCAAATGAAAGTAAGTTTTCAATGACTTAACAGGTTCCTTTTACTAACTAGCAATGACCAATATTTAAGCTTTAAAATGATAGAGGTATAAGCAGATGTAAAGGGTAAATGATCTTTGATCATATATAATACTTACATAGATATCATCTGCAAACAGAAAGGCATAGGTACATCAATTCAAAACCTTTTGCATCTCTGTTGTGAGTATCGTAACAAATAATCGGTTAGAAGCTGCAATAATTGGTTATAAATTTATCCAGCACTATGAATAAATTCTAATTCCAATTTATTTTATCATTTACTTTATGAAAATATCTTAGGTTTTACGAGGACCCTGGTCATAATTTGTGGTATATTTGGATCAGTTACAATTGCTGCCCTGCTCATCACTGTGAGGACGAATGTGAAGATCAGCAGAATAAGAAACAAGAAAAATCCATTGATTTGGACAGACAGTCAGCTAAAAATTGAACTTGAAGAAGTAAGGTGTGGTAGAAAATTAACAACTCAACTAAGCAAAGGAAATTTAGATCCACTTAGCTTTGAATTTGCTTACGATAACCCCGTTTATGAGGACTTTTAGAATAGTAGATGCTATTAGATTCATACATAGACTGTAGTTAGTTTTGTTTATTTGTACGAATTTAGGAAATATTATAGTTTTAATATAGTTTGATGATTACAGGACAGATTTCGACATAATTGTATGACCAACAGGAAATGATTACAAATAACATTATTTTCTGTGGACATATTTACTGCCATAGCGTTAGGTACTGTTAACGGTTAACTATATCAATTGACAATAAACAATTTAGTAGGTGTTTATTCTATGATTAATAAAGATGTTCAAATTATATGTATAATATGTAATAGTGTGCTTGACCTTACGAAAGCTATTTAGTATTTCTGAATTGATTATTGTAAGATACTATCTCGTCCCTAAGATACATTTCATTTTGTATGCATTTGAATTATTCAAATTCACTTTGTCTTGTGCAACAATTTGTTACACATTGTATACCTGCCGCGTAAGAGTGCGCGGCTGTACCGTAGCTTTTGCCACGATACTAGTAAAACGACAATGGGGATCACTGTTAGATGGCCTCTAGTTGAACAATAAAACCCGTATTTGTCGTATGTACAAAACCTGTAAAACAAAATACTTTATTACATAATAGAATAACTTTACCACCAAATTAAACCAATTCCAAATAAATATCTAATAACTAAACATTATAAATACTTACCGATTGGACGGTAGTGTGCTGCCAATGTTCCACTCCTCCCCAGTCCAATCGGTTATCCTTCTTTGCTTGTCATTGCTAGAAAAGGTAAACACGGTTAGAAGTATTCTGTCACGAAAGAGAGAGAAAGGTGTGAACAGTAATAACAATCACAAGTACAACAATAAATTCAATTCCTTCAACAAAAGTGTACAGCAATAATTGAAATATAAATAAATTTAAAATACAATCTATATCCTGTCATCACTCCTGGAGTAATGGATATTATATGTTTATTTCAATAAATATAATAACCAATAAATTAGAATAGAATTTTGTCTTCTTTTCAGCTCACTCTTCTGAAACCTCTTCCTCTACATTCTCCACCTCATCATCAACTTCCTCATCTTCATCATCAACATCATCACCCCTGTCTTCATCGCTGGTGGTGTGTGCGAGGTTTAGGTCCAGTTCGTGAACAGGTATTGCTTTCTCATAATACCGTCCTCTGTGTCCTCTCACTGCAATCAAAACTGTTTCGAGTAGCTCAAATCGCAAACGACGTCTAAGATTTGCCATGATGAGGCTTTTGTCCTGGCTGGTCTTGGCTGCCAGAAGTGTTGCCACTCGTTTAAGGAACATGGTAGCCTGTGGGCCCATACCTCCGGTGGTTGAGAATACAAGGCCATTGCAGGTTCCTTTTTCGATCTGTACACAGCGGTCTCCATATTTCCTTTCTTTCTCTCTCATGCTTATTGTACATCTTTGCTGGGGTGTTGTGATTAGCGTTGGATTTGGCTCCGGGGTGTAAAACCCTGATATCAAAAAATGCCATCTCCATTGGTGACCACAGACCTCTAGCTGCAATGTCAAGCCTTGCCCCATCATCCAGAATGGTACCAGGGCGAAGGCTTTCTCCAGTGCATGGCTGGAGTGTGGGCTCTACAACAACCTCATTACAGATTTTTTCAAGAATGCTTGCAATGGTGTCTCTCAGTCGGTTGTGTCTGCTGTTGACAAAACCTCCTTTCTTGCAAATGAGAATGTGGTTGTAGGTGTTATCTTTGCCACAAATGCATTTCTTGGCTATGTTGGCAATGGGTAGAGCATATCTCAGTGCTATAGCGTCTTTGAACCCTTGCTTGTTCAAGACAAATCCGTACTTCTCATAAGGTAGTCCGGTCAGCCAGCTTGATGCACCTTTTTCACATGCATGTGGGATCTGTTAGATGACCTTTAGTTGACCAATAAAACCCGTATTTGTCGTATGTACAAAACCTGTAAAACAAAATACTTTATTACATAATAGAATAACTTTACAACCAAATTAACCAATTCCAAATATATACCTAATAACTAAACATAATAAATACTTACCGATTGGACAGTAGTGTGCTGCCACTGGTCTGCAACTCCCCAGTCCAATCGGTTATCCCTGTTTCCTTGTCATTGCTAGAAAGGGTAAACACGGTTAGATTTTTAAATAGTAAGATTATTCAAACAATATACACATAATATAACAATTACCCTATATAAAAATTCAATATAAACACGGTTAGAAGTATTCCGTCACAAAAGAGAGATAAATGTGTGATCAGAAATAACATTCCCCGGTTTTCCCTTTCCAGCAATGCTAACCCCAATTTCTCTCAGGATTGCACTGCAAATTTACCCAAAAATACTGTCAAAGACCCCGTCTGAGCTACAGCTGTCGTCAGATTATCACTGACCCGCAGTGACCTATCTGGACGAATCAACTAAAAACTAAAATACAGTCAACAACCCCGTTTGAGTTATAGCTGTCTTCAGATTATCACCCGCAGTGACCTATCTGGACGAATCCACTAAAAACTAAAATACAGTCAACAACCCCGTTTGAGTTATAGCTGTCTTCAGATTATCACCCGCAGTGACCTATCTGGACGAATTTACCAAAACTAAACTACAGTCAACAACCCCGTTTGAGTTATAGCTGTCTTCAGATTATCACCCGCAGTGACCTATCTGGACGAATCCATCAGATAATTAAATACGCTCAACAACCCTGTTGGAGTTGATTCACGATGTCAATCCGATCCTTCGCAGCTCGGTGAGGCACAGTGGTGCATCTCGCCGATCTACCGAAGATAGATGTGGTTGCGAGAAGCATTATTTGATGCGCGCGCGACCCAGTAGTGCATCGCGTTACAACTGTTGGAGCTACAGCTGTCATCAGATTATCACCCGCAGTGACCTATCTGGACGAATCTATCAAACAATAAACTTGTACCCACAAATACGCTCAACAACCCTGTTGGAGTTACAGCTGTCTTCAGATTATTACCCGCAGTGACCTATTTGGACAAATCTACCAAACAATTAACTTGTACCCACAAATACGCTCAACAAACCCCGTTGGAGCTACAGCTGTCTTTAGATTATCACCCGCAGTGACCTATCAAGACGAAACTGCCGAATATTAAAATCGTCCCTGTATTGACGCTCAACAACCCGGTTGGAGCAACAGTTGTTTTTAGATTATCACCCGCAGTGACCTATCGAGACGAAACTGTTCGGAATTTATTACAGAGAAAACATTACATGGGGACCTCAGGCTGTTATGTTCATAAACAACAATGGAGATTAAGCGGAATGACAGGCTGAGCGCGGCCCAGTAAAGAAAACATAATAAGTCATATTAAAATCTCTTTAAAACCCCGCTAAAATATAAATGCCACGCGCGCGCGCGTCCAGCGCGCATTTTCAAATGCTTACACTATAAGTACTTACTGTACCTACGAGCTCAAAATTACTAGCAATACAGAAATTCCTTTGTTCTCAAAAAAAAACTCACCGAGATGTTATAATATCTAGCTCAAAAACTAAAAGCGTCCCCATAAAACGAGTAAATATTCGAAATAAATACTAAAAGAACAACTCAGCAAAGTGGATTAGCTACCTAAATTAGCTACAAACATATTATATACGCAAATATATTATTATGTTTACCTGCGACCACACTCTTTTGCAAATTAAAATGAAATATACAAACTTAAAATAAAATCCGACGAGACGAAATAATATATACTCCTGACATTGCTCAGCAATTAACTCGTAAAAAACGACTAAAACACGATCCTATTGATTCACGATGTCAATCCTTCGCAGCTCGGTGAGACACAGTGGTGCATCTCGCCGATCTAACGAAGTGGTTGCGAGAAGCATTATTTGATGCGCGCGCGACCCAGTAGTGCATCGCGCTACAAACGATCCTACGAATCATGGAACTGGATATACATACTGAATATTACTCTTATTTCTTATAAACAGACATAATTGATCTTGTAATAAGTATTCGACTCTTTTCTATATTTAGTATCATAGAATCCGACAGGAAATGCGATAAAACCTTAAAACACGACACATAACAAATTACAAAACATAAAACTGAATAAACTCACAATTCCTAAAATAGAAACATTGACTTTTGCTTGACTCAACGCTCTTGACTCATACATTTAACGACACAAAACATTCATTTGATTGCCTTCTCGTTTCTCAATCAAGATACTTTTCCAAATCTACTCTGAACAAAAGTTTTTATGTATTGCCAGCTCTCTCGATCATTCCGTATTTCCAAGGTCAGCATCCTCAGATCCGGGGAATGTGTTAAATGAACACTGAGCAACCATATGACCTGGTTGTCGGCATATAAAACAACATACCTTGGGACTACTACTCCCCCTCATATAAAGCTTTTGTCCTCGTTTTTGAGCATATGAGTTGTATCTCTGCTGTCCTCTATCCTGAGCATCAGGGTTATATCTGTTTTCTTCTCTCATTGGTTGACCCGTGAAATTCCTTTGATCCCCATTTCTGGTCCAGTGAATGTCAGACCCCAATTTGTAATCCTCAGCTAGAAAGACAGGTTCCTGCTTTACAATTTCCTCCATAGGAGTACTTTTAAAAGGTAGACTAGAGTGATTCTCATTCCTTGTGAATCCATCTCCAAACGTCCTTTTTAACTGTTCTTGCATCAAGTCATAAGATAATGTACTAGTGCAAGTTGCTCTAACCAATCTGGCCTGTTCATCATTTAGGCTTGCCTGATTTAAAAGTCTATACGCTAATACCATGTCATCGTAAAGATCTTCGTTCTTTCTCAGCTGTTTAAGGATTTTATACCTCCTCTGGAATTCCAAGATGTAGTTGTCTATATCTTCTCCATCTCCTCTCCTGTATCCCTCAAAAACATCTATTGCCTTAAATAAAGACTGGGTACTGTCCTTCTTATACAGTTTGTCCAGTTCGGCAATGAGTTTATCAACTCCATCTTCTGCCCCTAGCACCTTTAATGTCATGTTTATAGAGACCTCCTGTGGTCTACCTTTCATGTTCATAATCAGCTTACTAGCTTGCTGTTTCGTTGTTGCTGCGGTGCCAAGCTGCCATATTAACACTTTCTTCTTCCATGTGCTGTAATCAGCGCTGTCGTCTAAAACTGGTATCTCACGAAGACTCATAGTTATAGTTCGACTCAAAAAACTCTAAAAATTGTCTCTCAATTAGTCTCTAAATTAGTCTCTAAATTGTAGTCTAAATAACACACAAACAAGGTGCCACTGTCAGGTGCGTAGAACGTTTTCCGACTTCCTGCTATCACTGTTAGATGACCTTTAGTTGACCAATAAAACCCGTATTTGTCGTATGTAC